CTAATAATGCAATATGAAAATCATACAAATATGAATTTTAACGGCTCACTGGTTATAGGTTAAGTTTGTTTAACGCCATTCTTCATACTGATCTATACAGAACCAAATAGAGGGCGAGGTCATATCTTAGGGCATTGACTGTACACGTTAAAAGAGACATGAGAACCTATGTCAATTTTCAAAGTAAACAAATAAAATCTGCATCAAATACCAATTATAAGACTGCAATAGAAACCATAAAAGCGGATGCATTAATACCAGCAACAACGAAGTGTCAAAACAATGACGCCATGAACAAAGGCCAGCCACCATTGTCTCCCAGAGTAGACTACAGTCCTTACGACTCGTGTCTCTAAGTTGACAGAGATATTAACAGCCTTGAAAGTAATGGTAATAAGGTTGTGTAATAGATTTTTATTAATAAAGGTGTTTATGTTTCTACGACCAGCGATTTATTTCATTAATTAGACACATATTCATTGATTATAAGAAATCGCAATCCATTTCTGTTACAGATAAAATCGGTGCGGTGTCGTGTGTTGTGAAGAAGTTAAGAAAAAGTTTTAAATTGTACAATTAGGCAATTGCGACTCAAAATGACGGTTGGCACGCGAACCGAAGCTAATTTCTTATTAAGGTCTTTGCTCACGCCGCGCCACAGTGCATTGCTTATTTCGTCTCTCTCCTGACTTAACTGTCGGAATTGGAATTAGGCAATTTTCCAAGGTAACGTATTTTCGATTTTAAGTTGTAGCCTCACATGTTAAGTTGTACTTCGTGTCAAACTCGTTTTATCAATGAAATACGGTCTAATTACTACAAACATTTTTGCTTTATATGTCCAAAAAAGATGGATGTCGTTAATCAATATTTCTTTATCTGGCTTCCATAAAAAAAGGAAATAACGTTAATGCGATAGATAACGGCGACAGCTTCCATCTCATTTAAAATTTTTGTATCATTTATTACTCATTGTTGTTATTATTCAGATGTCATTACGAATTTCCTTTTTTAATTTTCTTTATAGAGTTGTTCTGTTTCATTTAAGAGCACACTGCATTTTAGTACGATTGTAATTTTATTCTTGTTCGAATTAGGTTTAGTCGTTTTTTTACACGTTAAGTATTTAAAACCATCTACCTCCTCTCCGCCTCCAGCTGAAAACAATCGCTGAGACTCTGAACAGCATAAAGCTGAGCCGACTAGCCCTTTCGGCTATTATTGTGTATTTACTTTTATTAGATTTTTACTTTTGTATTTTTCGCTTTTATTACATCGACCGGTGATTGCGATTCTAAGTACATAAGTGTGGTCAGTGCCTTACTCGCTTTATACAAGCGAATCTTATCGATGGGTCCTAAGTATAAGGGCCAGACTAACAATTTGATCATTTTCAGTGTTTTGTAGGAAATGCTTAATTTCATTATAAGGTAGCGTTAAAGCAAAATCTAAATATTCAAGGAAAGCTCGAAATACAAGCTTATCTTGAAAATATACCAGATTGAAAATTTGGAAGCCTCTCCTGTAAATTTGTGATTTTGCGCTTTGGTCCTTATACATAGGATCCATCGATATATGTATATCAACTTTGATAAAAGAAATCGACACTAACTCAAGACTAAGAGTTTGCGCACTACGTCACGTAGTTCTCAATTCGAGAAATAACGATCCGAAATGTCACAGGGATCATTTTATCTCTAGGCGTCAAGCGATATCGTATCGTATCGTATTTTCTCGGATTAGAATCGGACTTAGTGCACAAGCGACATCTGAAGTAGGTCCGAGTTTTCTAGATTTGTATAGTCTCAGATTCGGGCAAATCTATTTTATATATTAAAAATACTTTACCATGAAAAAACCATCTAACGCCAGTTACCACAGATTTAGAATTTTGTTTATAAAGCAATTGTTTTTTTTAATTTTCCGTTTATAATGATAATACCTTTATGACGACTATACGCAGCAAATGAACATGACAAAAAATAAGTTTACGAACAACGTCAACTTACATTATTGCCATATACTGACGACAATTATTTCCAAGAGATTATTTCTTAATGTTTATATCGCGGTTTTTAATACTAATTGAGGTATTATAATCGACATATAAGTGTATATTATAATGTGCCTTAATAATGTGTTGAAGCTGGCCTTCACGCTATGACATAGGAGAAGTCGTAACTTTATATGAGACGTTAGGGCTTTGAGGGCGTGGTAATTGTTGTGTGAAGTCCTTTGCCTTGCACTGTCGTACAAGAGTTTAAATGAGTGATATATTTTCAAATTGACGCTATAAAGGTAAAATGTCTAACGTGCATTTGAAAAATATGTAACTGTATTTTTTTTAATCGTAACTTTAATTATTTTTATTATATTTTACGTAAAGGCTGAAACTTTCCAGTTTTTAGTGTCTAGCTTATAGACTAATTGACCGGGGCAGGCAGAGTGTGGATTGGTGATCTTTTTTAACCGACTTCAAAAAAAGGAGAAGATTCTCAATTAGACTGTATTTTTTGTATGTATGTTACGCGATAACTCTTTTGTGCACCAATTTTGATGATTCTTTTTTTGTTGGATCTTTCCAACCTTGGGTACCTCAGTACTGGCCCCATTAAAGTTTGAAGAAAATATTCCACCTCTGCTGGTAACAAACTAGGGGATGAATCAGGTATTGAGCACTTTCCGGTAACTGATTTCAAGAAAATTTGGCAAATAGATGTTAATTCCACGAATTTTTGCGGTCGGTTTTTTTGTATATAAAAAAGTTACAATTAACTAATACAAAGATCGAACATAAAAAAAATTCCTCCGCTCTGACAGGACTCGAACTTGCGTCTGCGTACCAACTGATCGAGTCAGCAGATCTTACTAATTTCTTTATGTGATTGTTACAGATCTTTTGTATTGGGTTTCGGCTTTTATCACCGTAAGCAATACCTGGCGATACCTATGAAGCTTCTCACTCGGTCGGTACCGTTACATCGAAAATAAGATAGCAGTGGAGTAATTCCACAAATAACTTTTTTACAAAACCGAAGTCAAAAGTTCGTGTAATTATATCTATTTGCCAAGTTTTATTGAAATCAGTTACCGGAAAGTGCGCGAAACAGGATTCATACCCTAGTTTGCCAACCTTAGAGGTGGAATATTTTCCTCAAATTTGAATGGGACCATTATTGAGGTACCAATTTAAAGTAAGGTAATTTGAGGTAAGTTTCCAATAGAAAAAGAATCAACACAAAATCGGTTTAAAAATGCCGGAGGCATCGTGTAATTTACATAAATAATAATAATCATAAAATAAAAAAAGATATAATAATAATAAATAATACTGTCGAATTTAAAACCTCCTTTTTTGAACTCGGTTAAAAAAGAATATCGTGGTAGTAAAAACACAATGATATGCAATAAAATCAATATGAGTGATCTTTGTTTAGCTGATTATGTCACTATACTAAGACAAGGTTAACAAAAAAAGAGCCTTGATCAGGGCTTTTTTCTTTGCAGTTAGGTACAGCCGAAGCTGTAATAAGTAAGAAATCCACGCCTTACTCTCTTGTTCTATAAATTGGTGGTGTTTACTCAGAAAACTTCCGATAGCGAGTGTACATTCTTAGGCTGAGATTTATAAAACGAACTTTCATTTCGATTGATCCAAAATGGCGAGGTATAGAAGTGTTTCCAATTTACAAAACAAATATAACGAAATGAACGAAAAAAATGAAAATCTCTGAAAATCCCTGGACGAATTCTTTTACAAGGAGCTCTACTGCTACTAAATATAACAAAGGTAATAAGAACCAAAGAAATTGGTTTTTATAAGCATCTTTGAAAATCATAAAAAACCCAATGCACAGAAGCAAACTTTGTAGCTAGTTAATGTATAGATATATTCCTAGGCATTACTCCTACACCTGTCTAGATTTAGAGCTCAAGCTTGGGCTGTTGACCCGGCTTAATTGCAGCGAGGCGGTGCCGACAACAATCGCCAAGAGTTCCGCGTACTTTTAGCAAATGGGTCGCCGTTTCTACATGCATAGGAATCTGGTGAACTATCGGGTATCTTTAGTACGTCTTGTATATGGTATTGTACGTATTAGCATGATTAATATTAATTACAAATACATCAAGATCCACAAAAAAAAAAATACCTAGTTAGGCGTACTCCAAGTTTGCACTTTAAATCTTCAGTAACTCAATGGCAAACAGAAAGTTATATAGCAATGGTTTTACAACTTACTTGGACTTTTCACACGATTTAATAATTATGGTAAGATATGTTGGAAAGCTAGGTGTACCACAAGGCTCCAAACTCGGACCGCGCTTATTTGTAATATAGAAGAGGTAAATTGTAGACAATTAATTGAGAGTACAATAATAACATAATAACAGTTTTAACAGCATCAACATAATATCACATAGTAAATCAGTTTTCGAAAGAAACATAAAATAATACCTAACGGAATGTAATATTAGCAACAAAATAACCGATGAAAATAGAAATCATACGTTATCGTTATGAATTTGATCTGATATAGATTACAAGAGATCGATAAGCTACAATGGAACCGCGGTTCCATACTCCGGCAGTATACCGTGATAAACGATTAGACGCGTCTAATCGTTTATCACGGTATACTGCCGGAGAAATGCAAGTCACAAAGTGAATTTATGGTCACAAAAGGCTTTGCTGTACGGTTAAATAAGATCTAACAACAAGAAAAGGAATTTGTGGAAGTGAATGCTTCATTTCCTTTGTCCCGAAACTATGTAATTTTTCTTAGAAATTTTCATTACTAAATCAAATTAAAATCCAAAATACTGTTTGGAAATTGTCATCAGTAGATGTATAAGGTTTTCGACGCTTAAACAGATTCGACATAATGTTTCGAATTAGGAGCTAATTTCTCTTTACGGCAATTTCTTATTCATTTTATCAATTACCGATTCATAAAAAGAAACTAATCGATCACATGGACTCAAACGGCAATCGCTCTTACCTGCCCATAAGCCAACACTGTAGCGTTATATCCATCCAATGCCGCCTCCACCAGCTTCTTGACACACGTTTCGTAGACATCTTGCTGGTGCACTGAAGGTTCGAATGCAAAATCGAAGGTGAAGGCTCGTTCAGCGCCCAGAGCCACCCCGCCTTCCCCGGCGGGGCCACCGGCTCGGGCGCAGATGCCGCATCCTTCAACGACTTCGCTTGGTGTTTGAGGACGGATCCTGGAAGAGAGAATCGGAAGTCTTTAAAGTTATAGTGTAAATTTTCACTGGATTGTTGACGCTAAAAATGGGAGAAACACACATAATCAACGATAAACAAACATTAATAATTGGTAATGACACGTGAACAACGAATAAGTTAATATATCAAAAATTTAAGGAATCAAAGATTACCTAAAGTAACCTAACATAATATGCTGAATAATGATGAAGTAGCAAGATGGAGTAAGAATTATTCAAGGGTATCTTCACCAACAAGATTACAATGGGCGTGTTGGCTACAATGGGCATGTTGATCGCTTAATATAAATGACAAATGGTGTACGGATGGCGACGACGGGAATAAAAAGAGTTGTCCCTGACCTTTGACCTTTTCAACGCATTAATAATATAATAGATGCATATTTATATATGCATATGTAGATACTCAATTTATTTCAGGAAGGAAAGGAAAAAAAAGGTCTTGAATTCCAAGAACGTAAATAAATCTTTAAGTGTTAGGAGACGAGATAAGGAGAAATAATTTGCATACCTGAAATATCTTGATTGACAAATCGAATGAACGAAATGTATACAAATTATAATACTAAGTAATAGGGCATTGTTCTTCTATAACGACACGCAATTCAATGACGCGCAACGGAAGTTCAAATTATTGTTGGTCTTCTGGTTCACGAGCAATGAATAGGCGTGCGTATGTGATGCAAGGGATTCAAGAGGAAGTCAACAAATAAGGGGAAAGGGATAGGTAGAACAAAGAAACACGAATGAAGTGTAACAGGACAGCGTCAATGGAACGGAATTTAATCAAAAGTCGATTATTAACGCTAGACAATGAAAAGAGTCTTGACCGAAAATGAACGTCTGAGAATGTTTCCGAGAATGTCGACGAGTATCTCCCGCGTAATTAAAAGATATCAATTTCTGTGTGTAGTTTGAGAGGAATTGTAGAGTCTATTGACTACATTATTTATTATATTTGGAGGTTTTATATCTGATGTCTCATATTGCACTTGTGCTCTCTTTTTTGCTTTAAGACCCAGCGTTGGGTTACCCAAATGAGAAGCCTGATTAATGGATTCCACGTAATTTGGCAGGTTCTAGTGACGCGGTGCTATGTCATGCGCAATTTTCTTATTTTGGAATGGTTTTTCAGTGTTTAATAAGGTTGTGCTTCAGTACCTTCGTAGAAATATTCACTTTATACAAGCCTTGTATGAAATGAAATCATGTATTTTATGATATCCATTTATTGAAAAATGTAGCTAGATAATATTCCATAACCGAAAAATGATTTCAAAACGCAGACGAATACGAAGAGCAAGACGCAGCAGCACAAGAGAAATGTAAAATGAACAAAACGAATTAAACTGCAGAAAAGTCATCTCACATGTTAATTAAAGCGACACGGCTAAGGCGTGACTTCCTAAGCCAAACAATTTATAAACTTTCACATAAATAACAACAACAATTACCACCATAACGGCACAGCAACATGCCTCTCTTAGCATTAATACATTGTAAATTATTCCCCGTACTTCGATAATCCTAAGTGATCGCAAACCATGCACGTACCTCGCGTGAACGAATCGCGTGCAGCCTATTGTTACGTGTACATACATATAGATAGGTATACTGCTTTAGCAACTATCTTAGGAAATAGATTTACAATGTTTAGAATTTACAATAGGGTTTGACGTGAGCGATATAATTGTAGTGAAGACAGACGTCAAAACTTAAAGAGTCCCTCAAGGTTGTATTCTTAGCTCTAGTCAATGTAAATGATATACTTTGTATTGTAGCTACATTCATGTATGACATATGGTATGTATGTTTTATAAAGTATGTTTAAGTGTACCTACATATATTCAATTAAATTTATATTACCGTTAAGCTGCTTAGAGTACCAATAACTGCCCTCATCTATATTTGTTGGATTCAATAACGTCGCTATTGAAAATCCTAGTCATTTTGTTCGGTATACTTGTAATATTTAATAACACGTTACATCTCAATGGAAACAAACATAATGCTTTGTCAATAAAATAACTAACATATGTGTATGCGTGGGGTTCATTGTAAAAGTTGTTCTATGGAACTGCGCTATACATAAACACTTCACTTGTCTAATGTCGAAGCCTGTATATGTACATATATACGTAAATAAATTACTCGTAGTAAAATGACTAGAGATTAGACATGTGCGCCGATCGTAAAGTCGTTGGCGACGACGGCGGCGTGGCATATGTTTTTCCGATATTATAAAAACACTTAATCATTGTTTAAATGAACCTTTGTATTCAACGTTTTTTACACTATTAATCTACGTAAAGAATGTTTCTATAATAAAGCAATCACATGAAAATAAACACTATCAAGTTAAATCTAGTATGAATAGGATTTGTGTTCATCATTTGGGGAGTTTTGCCATAACCGCCACGCTTGACAGGAGGGTTGTCGATCGCAGTTTGAGTGCAGGTATACTCGAGGACGCTGCTGCCCATCCTCAATGCTTGCTGATCCCTTAGTCGCCGAGTTCGACACCCACGGAAGAGTAGAGGTGGTTCTATTCTAAGCTAGAGACCACACGGACCAATGGATGCCATGGAAGGCAAGTTGTTGTAGTGTTCTTTGGGGAGGCCTATGTTCAGCAGTGATGATGAATAGTATGTCAGAATGTCAGGAATTGGAAATATTGCTTTGAAATATAATAAACAATTAAGTTTATACTTCATTAAAATAAAACAAATTTGAACCACGCCGTTTTACGTCTCTCGGTCAAATTTTTTACGTCTCGGTCAAATTTTTTACGTCTCGGTCAAATTTATCGGTGGTGGCGGCGTGGAAAAATACTCGGCAGCGGCGTAACGCTCATATCTAGTAGAGATAGGTATACAAACTTCGGCATAAAATAGATGAAATGCAAGTTATGTATTCATAACGTTATGTGACCAGTATTTTTGTCCCTCAGAGCGGGACGCTTGTAAATTTATTATTGTTATAAAAGTAAAACACAAGTTAATAATAGTTAAGACATGTTTATTTAATAAAAAATTTAAATAAAGGACTTAAAATTATCAAAAATTTAAAAAAAGAACTAATGTTGTGTAGTCTGATGATGATGGGCTGGCGTTATATACTCCTATTTTTTAAATTATTGTCACGTATGTCCTATTTTGTTGAAGCGGGATATTTTTAGTATTTTGGGGAGAGCGGGACACGAAGTTTAAAAGCGGGACGTATAGTCACGTTATGTATTCATTATGTTATGAAGTGAAAACTATAAAAAAATTAATGGATTAGGTAAAAGAAAACAAAGACAACACATTGCTACGAGGATTGACGTATATAGATGTCATTGCTTGGCAAGACGTTTTTAAGTTAAGGTCTTAATGAGTATAGCTTATGGTAAGAAAAATGTGCAACAACACTTACTGTTGTAAGTGTTGTTGCACATGTATAATATTACGATATTATGACGCCCTCAGTGGTCCAGCATTTAACATTGCTGGCGCTATAGACGTTCAGATTCCCGGTAGGACAAATTTGGGAAACAAAACTTGTCTAAATTGGTTTGGTCTTGGGTGTTATTGCCCGAATCGTGAATTTAGTTGCTCTGGTAATCATTGTGCAGGGAATTCTCTAGGTAGCAGAGCTCCTTTTGAAACAGTTCGTCCAGGGAAGTACTGCCCCCTTACCTATTTCTGCCGTGAACGAGTAACGTAAGCATAAGGGTGCTGGTGAAATTAGAGGTACATTGGATGATAAGTCCTTATGTCTCAGGATGATAGGCGCAGTGGCAGTGTTCCTCAGATTTCTGCGATTTAAAGCTCTGAGTGACACTACAACTGCTGGCACAGTACTTGTTCGTCCCGTAATTTGGTATCATAAAAAAGGTAATTGGTGTGATAATCTGATACATTATTATTTACGATAACATTTTTAACCTTAAGTTTATTGTCATGAATAAAAACAAATATTAGAACATTGTGTTTAGTTTTCGTTAGTAATTGGTTAAGAATCTAGACTCCTTTAACTTTTTCCAAACAGTCAACATTCACACAATGGATTTCTTTATTCAATTCCACATAATTTCCGTAAGGAAACTATTCTATTCATTTGCTGTGTTTGTCTATTCAAGCAACAACAACCATTGTAGTGTTATCGACGGATATTACCACGAAATGGTGTCAATCGTGTACTAAAGTGGGTTCTTTGTAGACCTCCTTAGGTGATCAGATCAACTTTTGGAATAGGTCATGACAATTAATCGAATTTAGAAATGGAAACTTATAAAAGTGATTGACCGTGTATGATAGGCTTCAATGACCTCGGTGGCCCAGCTGTTAACACTGTGAGCGCTGGATTAGGAAGACCAATTTAGGAAACGGACTTTTCTAAATTGGTTTTGGTCTGGGTGTTCTGGGTAATGCCCCGGAATTAATTTCGTTATTCTGATGCTCATAGTATAGGGAATTTTCTAGTTTCAGATTAGGTAATTGGTGTGGTTGACTGGCACCTTTGTTATTATTACCATGGAAACGAGCTTATTAATAAGGTTTTGTTATGCTAGGTAACAGTATATCACCCTGTAGGCTCAGCAGAATATTAAGCAAAATACGTGGGGGGCACAATAAGTTTCCGGAATGAATAAGAAAAAAAATACTATAATTGGTCAGAAATGAATTTATTGTTTCTCAAAATATTTCCCGTCAGCGTTAATGCACTTATTTATACGAATGAAACAATTTTGATAAAATTTATGCCACTCCCCCATGACAATCTCTGAAACATATTTTTCATACTCTTCGACAGCCTCTTCATGTGATGAAAATCGTTGACCGCGTAACTAACGGTTCTTAATTTTTGGAAATAAATAAAAGTCACAAGGTGCCAGGTCGGGATTGTATGCGGGATGCCTCATAAGGTCAACGTTGTTCACTTTCAAAAATTCATTTATCTGTCTGGCCGTGTGAGAACTGGCATTATCGTGGTGCAAG